ATTAACCGTCACATTATAACGCCCCCACGGCTTGAAAGGGCGAGCATGTTTGGTGTGACGGGGATTCGAATCCGCGACCTGCAGATTGCGAGTCGAGCGCCCTAACCACCTGGCCATGCTAAACTGAAAGCAAATCAGCTTATAGTTAAGATTCAGCACAAGCTTATTCAAGACGTCACAACCAGGTGGAATTCCATTTTTGATATGCTTGTTTTGTTACTTGAAAACACATCCCACAATTTTGATAACATTTAAGGACAAATAAGTTTACATGAAAGATAATGTTAAACAGTCCCTTTGACATTTTTGGAATAAAGTTGATATTTAAGATTATCAACAGTTACATTTTTTCATAAGCGCAGTATTAATTATTTTGTGCTTGCTATACTAATAAATTAACATAGTAATATTTATCGTATCACAATAAAAAAAGCGCGATACGTATTGAATTATGAGGCTCACACTAACTTCCTACCGCTACGATGAACCTATCCCTAAAATTCCTTTTATCACAGAAACAGTTTCAAAAATATTTAGCTTCGTTGATATAAAAATAACTGAAATTAGCATTAACAGGAATAAATAAACAAAACTAAATAATAGATTCACAAGCTCCTTAAAAGAAACCTTTCTGTGTATTAATTTTTGTATATGTTTGAGAAATGTTTAAAATAAGTATTCCCTCTAGCAATCTATAATATTTCTTTATCAGATTTTTCTATGAAAATCGGTTTGTTGGCCATAGTAACGCGTAGAAGACAATAAAAGTGCAAAGGTTCACTGACAAAGAAAAAAAAAAGACAATTTTCAAGCATCGTAAGGCAAGACGAGGGAGGTGACGGTATAAGGAGATACTATATGGACTGTGGATTGCTTGTAGTACGCATAAGGTAGAAAGCCATGAGAAGCAAACAGACCCTTTTTTATTGCTAATCTTGAATTAATAAGAAGTTATTAATTTTCTAGACAAGTCTGCTAAATGACATCTTACGAGAGGTTCCCACAAAGAAATACCTTCTACATTTGAATATACAGCAGTCTGTTATACAAATAACCGAAGAGCTGTCGTTTGGAACCCGTAACTGGGTGTTTCAATAAAGTCCAGATATCAGGAGAGTTTGTTCTACAGAATATGCATGTCGCCTTCACTAAAGATTATATTATCTAAAGAAAAATAAAACTGCATTTTAGGATACAGCGGGGGCATACTTACGCAACTGCTTATACAGGATCCTGGAACATACCAGAGATGTTAAGAAAAGGGATAACTATCAACCTTTCAGTTCACATTTCGCTTCTTAGTACTACGATGAACTTATCCTTAATATTCCCTTTTACAAAGAAATAGTTTTCAAAACTTTTAACTCCATTAATAGAAAAATAACTGGGAGTATCGTTATCAGGAATGAAAAACCAACACTCAAGTTACAGATTCACATGGCCTGTAACTCAATAAAAACAGACGTTTCTACCCTTGACATATATTTTGTATGTTTAGAAAATGATTAAAATCAGCATTCCATCTTTATCGTATTTTCTCTATGAACGTCGGTATTAATGGTCAAATCACGTGTATTTTTGAACGTGCTTTAAAAAATAACGTTTTTTCAACAATGAAAAACGTATTCAATTAACTGACACCTGGTGTAGGTCTTAGTTTGAAACTAGTAGTATGCTTTATAAATCTTTTATTTGTGGGGTATTTTTTGGGGGGCAATAAAGTTCATTACCTTTATAAAGAAAGTTGTTTGAAATATCATTTTATCTGTTTGTTATAAATAAAGAATTTACACACATTTCTAAACCAACGTATACAGTAGAATTCTAATCGAGGTTACAAACAAAACATCTTAAACACACAGAACTGTTAAAGGTATAAAGCGAAAATAGACGATATGTAAATACTGTAGTTTCATAGAGAAATAAACTACTCTAGAAAAATTAAACAGAGGAAGAATTGTTCTACAACCAAATTTTTAAATTAATGTATGTAAGATGCACTATGTATGAACTAATACAGCCAAGCCAAAGTACTAGTTTCCTTGACAACATAACGCTGTTACGTCTCCGTTCGCTATTTATTTTTCCGTAACTTCGTTCCGACGAAACTTTTGCGACACAAGTCCTTTCTT